CTTTTTGTTTGTGTTGCGAAAAGATTATATTTGGTGCAACCCAATTCAAACCCCTCATTTCCCATGTTTCTCGCACCTTCACTATTCATCGTATGAACAACAATATTCACCACAAAAACAATACTATTCACCAACCAATTTTTACTAATTTTTGTTTTTTTTACTTTTCGTCAGACTTTCTGGAACTTCTAATTTTCACGCTATATGCAATCTCCAAAATATATTTTCTTTCTCTTTATCAACAAAGGTTTTAAGGAACACTAGAATAATCTCCACCTTGACTTGAGACCGTGTTGATGCCAATTTAACCATCAACAACATTACTGCTCTCGACCATATTGAAACTCTAATCAATAACCATGATCAAATTCAAGCAACCCTTGAATCTTGATCTCGCCAGTTGCATCCACTTGTTTCCAATTACCCTTTTCTGCCTAGGTAATTTAACAATCCCACAAGTATGATTTTTCAACAATTGTTGACTCCATCTGTTTTCAAATGCCTCCCTGAAGATCCTTATTTTAGAATTTTGTAACCCTTCATTCATATTTAAAACATATCATCCAAGGATAGCATAACCGTTCCTTTGAGATGTTACAATCACACTCCTTACCTTATCATGATTCAAATGATAATCATAGATCTCTGCTACTGTTTCTTCACTACTACTAGTATCCATAGTAGGAAACTCTACCTCAAACCGAGGTTTTTCCGTTATAGTTTCTGACATGTTTCTCCCCTAGTTTTCACTATATACACTTCTGAAATAGCCTCAAGGCATTCATAACTCCTTAACCTCAAATCCCATAGTCGTTCCTTATCATGAAAGCCTCCAATTGTTAGGATGAATGAATAACAACACTTGAATCTTATAAAATATATAGATCACATATTTTAGACCCTTTAGCAATAACTAATTCACCACACGAAATCTTCAACGCTTTATGTTCAACTCTAGTGCAATAGCCTAGATCATCAAACATACTCATAGATAACATATTTCTCTTGAGTTATGGAACTTACCTCAAATTATAACTAAAAAGTTCATAATCATCAAACATTTTAAGTCTGACCGTACCAATACCATGAACCTTGGAAACTTTATTATTACCAAGGCGAACCACTCCACCTTGCGCCATCTTCAAAGTTTCAAAGTATTATATTCTTGGACACGTGTGATAAGAGAAACCCGAGTCAATAACCCAACTATATTCAGTTTCCAAACTCAATATTACTAGTGCACCGACATCCTTATAACCATCCTCATCTAAGGCAACTACAACTTGAACAGAATCTTCATTGACCTTTGTCTCATGACAATCCCTTTTAAAGTGACCGATCTTCTAACAATTAAAATATTTTACCTTTAATTTATCAATCCTCTTTGATTTGGAAACCCCTTTACGCTCACCTCTTCCTCTTGACACACTTAAGCCTTTACCACTATCTCAATCTTCAAATCTTTGGACTTTGAAAATTCTTTAGATTTCATCGTCGTCTGGACTTCATCCAAAGTAATAGTACATTCTTTACCATAAAGAAGGGCGTCCTTAAAGTGCTCAAAGGATATGGGTATTGAACTTAACAAGAGTAAAGCCTTGTCCTCATCTTCAATCTTCACTTCAATATTCTCAAGATCATCAATAATCTTGTGAAATTCTGTAAGTTGTTCAACTATGAATTTGTTCTCTATCACTCGAAATGAATAAAGTTGTTGTTTCAAACGCAACCTATGAGTCAAAGACTTGGTCATATATAATTATTCAAGCTTTTCCCACAAAACAACCACAATTTTCTCCCAGGCGACTTCTCTTAGAATTTTATCTCCGAGGCACAAGATAATGGCACTCCTGGCCTTATCCACCATCTCGGTCTTTTGTACCTGTGTAATCCCCGCATGCATCAATACTTCATTCTTCAAAGCATCGATAAACTTATCTTGAATTAAAATTACTTACATCTTAATTTTCCACAACCCGAAGTCGTTGTTACTGGAAAATTTCTCGATCTCCCATTTGCTCATGGTGCTCACTTGTAAATGACACCCTTTTCTCGATGGTGGACGCCAGTTCATGTGAATTACGACAAGATTCAATATCAATTTGTGAGGCAAAGAACAGAAGCAACCAAAATAAATGGTATACACCAATTATAATCAATACACAGATAATATAACAGAATAAGGCGAGAAAAACACGAAGGTTTGTTTTCCCACTTCGATCGAACGATCTACTCTTGGGGAGATATCAGCTCTCTAATTCACTATACTCAGAAAGTTGTTACAAGAGATTACAGATGAGTTACAAGAAAATAGCCTCCGCGTCCAGGTTCCCAAGAACAACCCTGAAGGCACCCATAACAACCCTATTTTCTACCCAAGTGTTTCTCAACCTCTTCAACTCTCAATATACGAATAACTCAAGCCAAAGGTGTAACTAGTGTTTCACAATGATCTTAAACAACTCCAAAGGTCACTAAACTTTTGCCCTTCTAAGGTTTTCCTTCACTGACCTTAAACCCTTGTTGTCCCTTGTTGGTGTAAACTCTAAGATTGCCACACCTATAAGCATATGAGAGATACATATTTATAATAATAAATACCCAACAAATAAAGCCCAAAAAACACATTCCAATCACACATGTATCCATGGACTGAACTAAAAGAGCCCGCATAATGCAAAACGAGAAATTGCCAAAAAGGTCCGAAAACCTTGAAATTACTATTCACCGCACGTACAAAACTATTCACCGTACGGACAATACTATTCACCATACAGACAAACACTATTCACCGTATGAACAACACTATTCACCGACCAATTTTTCCTGATTTATGCTTTTTTTTACTTTTCATCTGACTTTCTGGAACTTTTGATTTTCACGGTATATACAATCTCCAAAATATATTTTCTTTCTTTTCACCAACAAAGGTTTTAAGGCACACTGCAACAACATATATTTTTTAATATCATATTGATTTTATTCCTTTAAAATAAAAGTCGGGGTTTTAGGGTGTTACATGCACCAAGAGCTTCCTCTTGGTCTACGTGAGCAGGGGAGACGTGCCCTTGGGATGAGGCCCTCTATGACATGTGGCTCCTAGAGCTCGATGCTTCCCCGTCATGAGGCCTAAGGTCAATTCCCTTCCTAACACTGAGTTGCTCATTTTGAAGAGCCCTCTTGCAGGGAACAAACGTGTGTTGGGTTTCACGGTTGAGTCTTATCCTTTTGTCGTTGTTTGCAATAACTATCCTGATAAAATGAGAAAAAGACATTTGTTTTCATATCAAGTCATTTTCGGATATGCATCTCCGTAAACCAGAAAGGACCCAATTCGAAGATGCGTCTCTGAAAAGGCTCGTGTTTGCATCAATGGCAGAAACAAATACCATTCTCTGAATATTTCCGTTAATTTGAACACAAGGGTTAATTCGGATATGCATATGCGAATTACCACTAAAACTCATACGAAGATGCATCTTCAAATAAAATTTTGGCAAAGTGAGGGGTGCTCAACAATTTGTATGTGTGAAAATGGTACATCTGGAGATGCATCTATAAAAATTGAAGTAATTTTTTACTTTTCAGCAAGGGTTAGGGAGAATCTATAAGAGTGAGAAAAGAAATTGCCTCATTTTTGTAGATTTTTTTAGCACGGTCCTAAAAAATTCGCTACCCATTAAAATTAGCCCGTATGGACCGCGGATAATCTATTTGGTCCGCTTAACTATAAATTCAAAAAATATATATTAAAATTTATGTTGTCTGACTTCAAAATAGTACATTAGTTTTTGTTACTTCACTAAATTTTATTTCTATTCTATTCAATTTTTTTTACAAATATTATATATTAATATATTTAAATTAATATATATTTTACTTCACATTTTTCTTATATTTTATTAGTATCTCTTATATTAATATTTTATTAGTATATAATACTATTAGTAAAAAATTATATATATATATATATATATATATATATATATATATATATATATATATATATATATATATATATATATATATATATATATATATATATATATATATATATATATATATATAATATAACTTTTCTATTGTATTTAGAATAAATATTGGAATTTTATTTTAATTTTCAATAAAAAATAATGTTAAAAAATAACTGTTTAGGGACAGGTAGTTTAAAGTCCGTAAAAGATCAAAATTACATTTAAAATGTGATTGATTATTTTGACTGTTGAAATTTAGAGCATGAAATTAAAAATATAATTAATATCTAGGGAGCATTTGTTTTAAGGAGTCAAAATTTATTTTTAAAAATCATTTATCTGAGAGTGTTAACATAGAAAATTTATTTTAAAAAATGTTTGACAAATATTTTGATATTTTAAAGAAAATTTTTTAATTTTTAATTTTTTTTTTATAATATTTCATTGAAATCATATTTCTTTTTTTTATATAAGAATGATTTAATGAGAATAAAAAAATAATGAAAAATTTAGAACTTTTATATCCAGAAATTATTATTTTCAATTTTAGAATACATATAATTTATTATAATTTCTTATTCATGTATTGCAGAAAATCTTATTTCTAAACTTAAATAAACTCCCTCTTGATAATTTAATTTGCAGAGATACGTGGACCCCGTCTTTAGAAGTATGATGAATCGAATAGTTACGTGGGTAGTGAGACCTACAAAGTACGGCCTACATTACTAATCACCTTAACCTTGTCAAATCCCTCTCACTGTATTGGTCTCCATCGACATATCACACGCTCACAACCATTTCTCTCTCTACATTTACTCTTCCTGTGAGTGTCTCTTCATTTTCCACAGGTTTTCTTGGAAAAGAACTTTCTTTTCTACCAATTTTCTCGCTAATCCATTCTGTTTCTCTTATAAGAGTTAGCGTTTTAACTACCAGATACTCCACAAGTAAAACATATGATGTGAATATAATTGAATATCAAGAAGTAGTAACTTTGAAGAATTTTCAGCCCTTATCTGAGATATGGAAGATATTTACAATATCAACAAGATGAATCTCCCTTTTGTATCTTGTTTGGAAAACGTTAACGTTTCTTCTTATACTCCTGCTACTACTACTACTTCGGAATTGCATCTAGGACTCGTTCGTGCTGTTACTAATAATAACTGCCAACATCAACCGGATCTAATCGGGTCGGATATATCGGATCGGATTATCAAGAACCAGATCGCCACTCATCCTCTTTATCCAAATCTACTATCTGCTTTCATAGAATGCCAAAAGGTCAATCAATTACTTAGACTATTCATTTTCTTTATATATATATTTTTTATCATCATCAATTATAAATACTCACTCATACATGTTTTGTTTTGTTTGATTTCAAGGTTGGAGCACCGACGGAAGTTGTGTCTCTTCTCGAAGAAATAGGCCGTGAAAGCCACCACACCAATGTTCTACGTCAGATAGGAGATGATCCTGACCTTGATCAATTCATGGTAAGTTTTATATAATTAATTTATATTTTATGCTAATTTTTATTATTATTAATTTTTTTTTGGATAGGAATCATACTGTGAAGTTCTTCATAGATACAAAGAGGAGTTGTGGAAACACATGAATGAAGCGAGTTTGTTTTTGTGTGATATTGAATCACAATTGAGCCAACTTTGCAAAGGCACATTAAAAATCTCATCTGATTATAACAACAACCGTTCAGGTAAAGAGAAGTTTTTTGGATTGCGTAAATAATATCCGGACATTTAAAGTTATCTAATGTTTTGTTTTTTAGTTGAAATAGTCATGAACATGAATGGCCCTCTACTTTAAATGGCCCTCTTCTTTTTTGTTTTTGATAGCATCAATCAATGAATGAATGGCCCTCTAATAATTTCTGTTCATTGATGGATGGAAACGATTTTGTTTTTAATACTACTAGTTCTTTAAGTGCTGGTGCACAACTTCCATAAACAAATTAGGTTATACATTTATACAAACAATTAATGTCACCAATTTTACTTATATTTCTTATAATATTCAAACATTTACTTTATCGGAAAACAAAAAACTATAATAATTGACATTTTAATTTTTGAATAGTGGAGAGTATTCTTACCCTAAAAAAATTAAGTTGAATACTATTACAGTAAAATTGTGTCTGAATTAGTTTTTGATTTGCATTATTTTTCAAACTCGAATACTCCCTTCGTATCATAAACAATTTTGCTATTTAAGCAATATGTGTTTCGTAAAACAAATATTAGATGAGTTAATTTTAATGTTAAAATTAGGTTTAATACTCTTTTCAAGTTATCATGATAGTCTCAGAGTTCAATTAAAATATTTTTATTAATTATAATTAATGAAATAATTAAATATAATAGAAGTTAAATAAATAAAGATATATTAATAAAAAATGATATATATATATATTTGATTGATATTTTAAAAAAGAAATATTTTAGGCAAATAAAAAAAATATAAGGCATTTGTTTCTGAGATGGAAGACGTATAAAATGTAATTAAATTATAATTTGACTATTCTTATTTTTAACATTCAATTTTTTTTAAGTAAGGGGGTGGGGAAGAGACTTTATAGGTCTTACATTAAAATTTTGTTAGGAAGTTTGGAGAAGAAGAGAGAGAAAAACAAAGAAAACAAGAATTGTTAAAAAGAATGAAACAATTTAGCCGTAGGTTTTGAAAGGTTTATTTTTGAATTGTTTTTTTTAATTGGATGAACTAATATAGTGTTATATATGAAGAGGGATTTTGAGGGGTTAGATAAATTGATCAAACATAAAATATAAGTTATTATAATATTTTAAAATTTTAAAATATGTTAAGAAAATATAAGTTATTATAATATGTTAAGAAATATAGTAAGATCTATTTGGGGTAGATACTAGGAGCATTGATACATAGTGTAAGATTAAACGTCTTTGTGAGAGACATACCACTTATCCACCTAAAATTTTAAGGTGATAAGTGAGTGGATTATCCCACTTATATATGTTTAAGTCATCACATTCCTATCTAATGTGAGATTATTTCTCCACTTACTGACACTTGTTATATTATTCCAACAAAATCTAATTTATCTTTATAAAACTGATTCGTATGGTGAGGATTAAACTCATTTATAAATACGTATAATGCTAAACATTTAGAGCATGAAAATAAATAATGAGTGTTTCGATAGCAAAAACTTGATAATAAATGGTCCACCAAATTTTAAAAATCTCAAACATGAAAATAAGTAGTGAGTACTTCGGATAACAAATATCTAATAATTTGACCATTCTTATTTTTAACATTCAATTTTTTTAATAAAGGGGTAGAGAAGAGACTTTATAGGTCTTACATTAAAATTTTGTTCGAAGTTCGGAGAAGAAGAGAGAGAAAAACAAAGAAAACAAGAGTTGTTAAAGTTTATTTTTGTTAATAATACAATTTCTTTTAAATTGGATGAATTAAAATATATTATATTTGAAAAGGGATTTTGAGGGGTCAGATAAATTAAATGTTCTGATAGCAAAAATTTAATGATAGATAATCTATCAAATCTTAAAGATCAATTTGAAGCACGAAAATAAATAGTAGATGTTTCGATAACGAAAATTTAATAGTAGATGGATTGCCCTCATTCATAAGCAGTAAATTCCTACGTAAGTATTACACTAAATGAATAATAGTTTATTAAGTTTATTTGAGGTTTGATATGGTTTGACCATACATGCTTTATGTACTATTTTTTTATAATAGTAAAAAATAAATTATCTTAAGAAAACAAAACAAAATATTATAGGCAATTGTAAAACTGAAAAAAGATATTTAACATTACTATTTAAAAGTTATTTTCGGACACACGTGTTACATTGTTGTTTATTTTGTGTAAACTTCCAAATGCATCTCCAAATGATATCTTCCGAATATAAATTTCTATATGGATAATTCATAAATATATCATAAAATACATCAAAGACGAAATTTGTATATCATTTTCAGTGATTTTATATATATTTATAAACACTTGTAGTTTTTAACATTGGATCAGGAATTTCTATCTGCCCTGTTATTAGTTACACCTATCTGAGCTGCGACCATGATTTAAAACATTTTTTGATTTTGAATTTCAATGTATAACTGCATTACATAATGTTAAATTTCCATAAATGAGTGGTTTCTGGAGTCCCAACTCAAGTAATAATAAAACAGAAAGTTTTGGCTGAGTTGCATGCATGGTGACATTAATACTTTGTCACATATACTTGAAATTTCATGTGTTGTTTCTTAATCAAGTAGTACTATATTCTATGATAGAGACAGTCAGCAACATTTTACTTCACGTACTTGAAAGCTAAAGCATAATGTTGGAATGAATCCTCACACTATAAATATGAAAATGTTAGAGTGGGGGACCATTTTAATATATTCACATAAAATTTGAAGAAATAGAAACTATAGAGCTGACTCATTAGCTACATAATAATTGGTCTATGGTGGTCTCCTATATGATGGTTATAGCACCACACCTTGTTTTCATCCTTAAATTTTTCATTTTATTTTATATGTGTGCTTCTTTTAAGGTCTCTGGTTCGAATTCTGTTAGGTGTAAATAATTGATGTGTTGGGCCAAATCCATACCGAACTTTGCTCGGTCACTAAGCCGCATACTAAAATAAAAAAAATAAAAAAAAAATTGATTTTTTGTGTTATGGAAATAAGTTGAATGCTTAGTATTTTTTGTTAGATGAAGCTGCAGGGACATCAGAGGATGAAATGAGCTGTGAAAAAGTTGAAGGTGTTCATGAAGCTTGTGTCTCATCATGTCCAAGTGACAAAGAGCTTAAACAAATGCTCCTTCGTAAATATGGAGGTTATCTTAGTAACTTGAGAAAGGAATTTCTTAAGAAAAGGAAAAAGGGTAAATTACCAAAAGATGCAAGAATAGCATTGCTGGATTGGTGGAATGTTCATTATAGATGGCCTTATCCCACGGTAATTCAAAATTTACACAGGCGTCGTAACTGTTATTTGACAACACTTTGCAACAGGGTGACTTGTTTTCCAAGTCACAAGATAACAACTTAAACCATTGTGCCAAACTTCTGTTGTCTAGAAAATTCTGATAGATTATAACTTATGAGTTTTTCAGGAGGAGGAGAAAATGCAGCTATCGGAAATGACTGGACTTGATATAAAGCAGATTAATAACTGGTTCATCAATCAGAGGAAAAGACACTGGAAACCATCTGAAGATATGAGATTTGCTGTTATGGAGGGTGTGAGTAGCATCGGCATAGCAGAACCTCTATAATTTAAATTTGTTGCTGGTAAAATGAAATCATGAAAAAAGTTTACTCTTCTGCTTGAGTGTGATGGAGATGATATCGAGCTTCTGCCAGCCCAAAAGTTCACAATAGAATGGTTACAAAGATGTTGATTTTTCGGAACCAGTGGCGCCTACTTTGCTGGGTAGGTCCGTTCAGCTTGTATACATACACTTGTGTTCAAAATATGGTAGTTAAAATAATACTATCAGTTATCTATTTCATGGATCTATGTTACAGAATCTCATTATTTAATGACAATATGTTGATGACAATTTGTATAGATATGTATTATTGATGTTGTTTGAAGACAAACCAGCAAATGCAATGCAGTGAACATAACATTTCTTGATTTTGGAAGCATATATATATAATCTTCTTGAACAATATCATAGGTGATGATGATGTATGTGAAAAGATTTTTTGTCTTTGTATTTGTGGAGATTATATATTTTTATAGAGAAGACTAATTTATTCCCTAAATTGATCATATTTGTCCCTACTGCGTCCTAATTGGCTTCGAAAAAACACCCGCCAAAGCCATTAGAGCCTAGAGTGAAATTACCATTCATATTGAGTATTGCATTGTCAATTTTTCCGGCTTAGACATTCTAGTAAAATATTTATTATTCACATGAGTGATAAGTTGCGTGATAGTAAAATATTTATTATTTGCATGATATCTTATTTAATGACATTCTCTAAAGAAATATAGCCATGCCTAATTTTACTGATTTTGTTGCTAGTATATCTTAATTTGATGTGTTATGAAAAAAAAAAATTTGTATTCCTATCTTTATCTTTAAACTAATTATTTGTCACATTGTTTCTTCCAAAAGTCATTTATATTAGGCAATTTTTTTCTCCAATCCAAGATTATCATTGTAACCTACATTATTAATCAAACTTTGTATCTTGTTAAATTCTTAAATAGCTTAAGTGACTTTAAGATGAATATTTCTAAATGTCTTTTTATTTTATTTCTTAAGAATATGTTTAAGAGATCTCAACTTAGCAGCAGGTAAAACAAACATAAGACAATCAACCACACTAGTATTTCAATTATCAACAATCAGTTGTCTGCAACTATCATCCATAATCCAAACATTTAGAAATTTAAATTTTCTAGCCGAATCAAACCACTTTTGTCACAATGGAGAAAAATAGGGTAATTCTATGAGTTATTCTGATCAAAGTGGAGCAATTGACTGTGTTCCAATTATCTAACCAATTATGATTACAAATGGCTTTGTCAAGCCTAATAGAAGAGTAAGCACCACCACTCCTCTCATTGTTCCAAGTGTAATATCTATCAATAGTGTCAAGATGCATAAACTCATTTTGATTTGTCAAACTAAGAAACTCAACAGCGAAAGCTTTGTTTCAAGGGTATCTATCATACTTCTCATGGGAACCAATAACTCAATGAAATCATATATCATGCACCATGGGCCAGGATTGGCCTGTTGAAGACCGATAAGTTCATTCCGTAAATATCTTGGGATCACATGAGAGTTACTTGTATATACAAATTCAATGAGATGTATGCGCGTCTTCAAGACAATCTAAAGCACGATTAAGATTATTTATCTCATGTTCAAGTGTATAACAATTTCTTTTTGAGGAGACATTTTTTTAAACACGTTTATAGAATGAGCATACATGTCATTAAAGGCTTGCGATATTCTATAATAGTATTCATTATCAGAATCATAAATATATACCTTTGACGTTTCACCTTTCTTATGTGCCATCAAACATAGGTTGACACACTCATCATCTGAACTTGAGTAAGAATCCGAGGAGGAGCTCCCATCCTCTTCTTTCCATGCGAAATAAGCTCTACGACCTTTGGAATTCTTTCCTTTCGTCTCGTAGACTTCCTTATCTCTTCTCTTATGATGTTTGATGAGACTTAAACATGTAGTTCTATAGTGTTCTGATTTACCACACTCGTAACATATAATATCATCATCCTTTTTCTTGTGTTCCTTTTTGAGTGGTGAGTATTTCTGAAATGTATCAAGACTGTCAGAATATTTGAGATTGTTTCTCTTGAGGTATCTATGATAGAGTTTGACGAATAAACCCATATCCTCTTTCTTAGGAGATTCTTTGTCAAAATCATCACTTTCTTCCTTTGATTTTCTAGCTTTTGATGACGAAACCTTCAAAGGAAGGTCATGTTTCTCTTCTTTTACTTCTCTTTGTTTTTCGACTTTACTTCGCTATCGACAAGTCGCTTGAGTTTATTTTCATGCTCGAATAACTTTCTAATTAGCTTTGTGATATACAAAGAATCAAGATTGTTTGATTATTTTAGAGCGGTAACTTTTGGTTTCCACTCCCTACACATAGATATCAATATCTTGTTAGCACAATCTTTGTTGGAATAGATTTTATCGAAGTTGCTAAATTTTTTATTAAATGGAGGAATCTAGTTTGCACGGAATTTCACGGATTCTCCTGGTTCCATAAGAAAAAATTCAAATTCATTTGCAAACATGTTGATTTTAGAATCCTTGATGTAATTTGTTCCCTCATAGAGAGTTTGGAGAGCGTCTTACATACCTTTGGCACATGTATGATGTGATATAACATAAAATATTGTTGCGCTTAAAGAGGAGATAAGAATGCTACTCGCTTTCAAATCATATGAGGTTATTTTGTTTTCATCATCATTTCAATCATTTGGGTGTTTTACAACTCCATCATCACCCGTGGAAATAAAGGGTCCCTCGGTGACAGCACACCACGATTTTTTTCAATTGATAACAAGTGTAGATTCATGATTGATTTCTAATAAGTATAATTTTCACCTTTAAAAATTGGTGTTCTATCGTACGTTCTCTTTGGATCGTCATTGTCCTCCATATTCTCAAAACTCTTGGAGTCGATTAGACTTAATCAAGAGACCAGCTCTTGATGCCAATTGTTGGGTAAGAATATGATGTAAGAAAACAATCTAGAGGGGGGGGGGGTGAATGAACATTTTAAAAGAGTACAATCCGTTTTTCAAAAACAAAATATCAGAGGTTTTTCAAAGTATGCACGCAGAAGTATTACAGCGAAATAGAGTGAATTATAATTGAATATAAATTAACTCACATAAAGACGTAATCAATGTACATCAATCACAAATTGAATTAATGATGACACACAAGGTATTCAATCGATATCACTAGTATAATCTACGAGATATGATTATACAACGACTCAATTTTCAAATTTTAAATTCAACTAGTTTCTCAGATTTTAATCACCACTAAAGCTTGATTAGGTTCCAATTCCAATAAAACCTAATCTTAAGCAATAAATCAATATCAATGCAACAAATGATAAACTACTCTATGAATTGAAAAACCTATGAATGCAATATACTACAAAATATAAATTCAAGATTAAAATGTAGAGTTATGACATTGGTATTTATAGTGCTTCGACTTTATCGTCCTCGCTTGAGTCTACGTACACTCTTTAATGGTTTTCCATCAGAAACTACATAATTCCAATATTTTGACAAATATTCAAAGAGTTCATACAATCACTAGTCCATAGTAATGCTGTTGGCTCCTAAATTCGACACCTTTGTTTTGATTGATGGCAGCCATTAAAAGCTGAAAGATGCTTTCGACTGGCTAAGCCTGTCGAAGTGCCTGTCGAAAGATGGCAAAAATACTTAGAAGATTTCTTCCAAGGAAGAAGGCTGAATTGCCTTCGACGTCGAAGGAATTTTCGTCGAAGACGTCTCTTGACGAACGTGTTCGATGGTCCAGAGTGGAGCAGCTTGAAATTCAAAGCTTTGGAGGGAAAACGGTTTCCAGCAGTTACTACGTGCGAACGTGCAAGGATCTGGAGCGTCGAGCATGGAGAACGTGACAAGTGGCTTGATCTCGAAGCAGTGTAACTGCCCGACGGTTACTTGGAATGTTTTTGTATAAATAGGAGTAGAAGTGTAGTTTCTCGCGTGTGTTCACAATAGATACATAGTCACTCATTTAGATTCAAGTACCCAGTGTGAGCGAACGAATTGTTGAGAAATGTATGTGTGAAACACCAATTTATCAATTCAAGTCATTTACTTTTCCAGTATTTTACATGCTTTTTCCCTTTAAGATTCCTGTCGAACCTTTACCTTCAAGCCTTGTTATTTTACCAAGCCTTTTCCTTTATGCAATTTACTTTAAACAATTTACTTAAAGCCTTATCCACATTAATTAAACTTCAAAATCAACCTATGTCCATAGGATCAATCTGATCGATCCTGCGAGTAACCAAATAAGTAACCATTTGGAGGATCAGCGGTTGTTTACCAAATCCCAAGGTAAACAAATTGGCACACCTGGTGGGACAGTGTGTTGATTGTTGAAAAAATCTCATCTTTTCGAGTTGTATGTTATTGAGGAGTGGTAGAATATACACCAACGATAATAATACTGCCAGAAGAAGGGAAGAGATGGCGAATCCGCCAAACAATAATGAAATTCCACCACCAAGTGTGGGAGCAACGGTTAATATGACCGTTAGTGAAGCGACGAATGTTGGTTCGATGCCAGCAGTGTCAGTCACAACCACGGGGCCAATAACTTCGTTAACAGGCCCCAGAATGCCTTTGGGAACCCCCCCTCCAAGGGGAAATACTGGCCCAAGGCCAGTGGTTCCCCCAGGATTTATTCCATTCTATGGTATGCCAACTTCTGAACTGGCAAGCCTGACGAATGTTGCGTCCACTTATTCAGAACCTTTCGTGAGTGCCACTTCGCCACTCCAAGGCTCTGGAGTAGGCATGGCGAATAGAAATAGGACCCAACTCTTAGGAGGAACGTCCCAAGTAGCCCATGGCCTTACAAATGCCTCGACAGCAGTCTTGAGGCAACAGATGGACGAAAGCAACCATGATATGGTGCAAATGTTGGCACAAACTTTGAGTATAGTGCTAAATCCTCTAATACAAAATACTACTCAGTCGAATCAGCAAGTTACAGCG